TTTTTTTTGCAGTACAGGGGATCAAACTCAGGACCTTGAGCTTTTGAGGCAGGTGGCAGCACCACTGAGCTAAATCCCCGGCCCAAAAGTAAAATATTTTTTAAAATGGAGCCATTAAAACTGAAATTTCTAATACATATTTACATAAAATAAAATTCAAATGCATATATTCTTCAAAGTATTTCCTTAAAGACATCTACAGAATTTTAGGTAACCTTATTTGTACCTCAGAATCTTTCAGCTTTTTTTTCTATATTAGCTAGAGAAACACAGCACTTCTAAAAGTAGGCTCAAGAGGCTTTGCTTGCTCTAACATGTTTTAATACAAACCTTCTTGAGTTTGATTGCTGGCATAGTTATTCCTCCCTTCCCTGCAAATCCATGCCCCCACTTGCCTTGCAAGTGCCATCCTGTATATCACTCAGGTGCAAAACCTCTTCCCTCCTCACGCTGCTCATCTATTCTGTCTGTAAGTCTCAGTCTTCCTTCTTCATGACAAAATTCTTCCACCCCTACTGTCATTACCACAGTTTAGGCTCTCATTACCCGCTGCCTGTAATAATAGCATAACCTCCCAACTAAGTGTTGTGCATCCAGGCTCTCTGCTCTTGGAATCCCATTGATCATTACTAAATTAAATACCAATTCTGCTTAGTCAAAGACTTTCCCCAGAGTCCAAGGTCCTCACCCTGGAGTACAGGCAGAGACTGGAAGCTGAATCATGAGTCACCTGAAAATCCAGAAGTAGCCCAACTGTCATAGCAGATGACATATCACCTCTGAAGCCCCAGCACAGAAAAAAGGTCAACATTAAGTTCACTGGGATCTATGTCCACACAAAATGGAGATGCAGGTCAAAAAGGTAAAGAGAAGCTCAAACTAAAAGAGGCAAAGAACTCGGACATTATTTTTATTTATTTTAAGTACACAGGCAATTACTGACTTGATACCTAAAACAACCAACCATGGGAAAGTGTGTCCTAAAAATGAAAGAAGAATTACCTGGTAGAGGCAGGCTGCTGTTCCAAGGAAAAATGCAATGATGTAATTAAAATCTTCACCATCACTCTGAAAAAAAAAAAAAGATTACTTTTTTTTCTGGTGGAACCCTGTTTCCGAAAAAAAATCCACCACCATAGGACATGATAACATGTATGCACAGTCAAAATTTTAATGAAGTGATATATGAAAGTCTCAAGAATCCTAAGACGGAAATGTAAAATACATAAGATCCAAGGAATCATAGGCCAGGGAAGACCTCAAATATTCCTCTGTGTCTTGGCCTCCCCCATCAATTTCATTTCATCCAAGAGAAGATGAAAACCCCTGGGGGAAGTTCCCTCATAATGCAACAAGCCTCTCTTCTTCCTGCTAAAGAAACCACATAAAAATACACAAACTTACTTCTGATCATGAGGGTCACTACTTGACTCAAATAAAAATTGACAAATTTTACTATCTAGGAAGCACATCACTGAATTGTCCAATAAAGTAATTTGACCTGAATTTAAAAGAAAAGAAAACTGAAAAGCTATTGTCCACTAGGGTGTGCTAAATCCCAATGAGAAAAATCAGTACTAGTCAGCCACATACACTATACCAGAAAACAAGCACTCTGGAAAGCCAGAGCTGGAGCATGGAAATGAATGTCAAGAATGTAATA